AAATAGAGTGGAAGAACAATGTGGAACAACATTCAAAAACAAAAAAGACCAGTTATAGCTGTCACATAGAGAGTGGTGAAACCCCTGAGACTACAGCCCCTAGTCACCCTTCAGGCCTGGAATTGGACTCACTCCCGTGGCTCAACTCTCAGCCAAACAATAGATAGGCCTACAAGCTGAACAATTATACCAGGGAGATTTACTCCTTAGAACAGTCAACCATGGGCGATCAGAAGTGCAGCATTTGCATAGGGAGAAAGCTATACAGGTGGGAATGTATAGGTAAGGACACAGGGAAGGGGTAGCCACAGAGAGGTGGTGGGAGGAGAGCTGTTATGTTGTGGGGATTGCAATCAATGTCACGAAACAAAATGTGTATGAATTATTGATGTACAACAAATCCGCTTTGAAAACTGCACCCAAATCACAACAAAAAGTTTTAAAATAATTGTTTGCTTAGACAACTGATATTAAAGAGATGTTTAAACTGGGGACAAAGCACAGATTTTTGGCATTCAATGCCATTCACTAAACGGTTCCTATCAGCACTTATGAAGAGCTGAAAGGCCAACTGAATGATAAAGGGCCATCATATCAAAGTTTAATGCAGGGGCAGAGAAAAAGACACTCAGGGGATACTGTTCCCCATTGCTGACCAGGTGTTACCAGAGGTCCGAAGGGAATCAAAAGTGCCAACATGGAGGGACCAAGTTGCAAGCTGATGTCCACCCTCCCCTGCACCATCTCCCAGGTAAGTAAATTCCACAGTCAGCAAATGATTGCACAGATTTAAAGCTGTGGGCTGTTGTTCAAATGTAAATCCCCTCGCACTGTTTATCAGCTTCTCCACTACTATTAGGAGAAAAGAAAAAGCCAGGGGACAGAATACCAAGAGGGTAGCTTGCAGTGATGGTGGTGGTCAAAGATGAGTTGTTTTTTATTTCATAATTCTGTCATGAGCTACCTCTGACCACAGCCCCCGTGTGATGGCCCCAGTTCATGTCCTAGCTTACTTCCTCCTCTTAACTGAACACAAGGCAAAATAATTCCTCAAAAACTCTTGTAACAAAAAAAAAAAAGGTCTAACCAGCAGAGGTCAAAATCAGTGAGTACAGAAAAAGCTGATGATATGTTAGGGGAGGAAGCAGCTGTTGAACATCTGCTAGGGGAGGGAACATTAAACTGAAAGACATAAATACTTCACTCCAAATAGACTCCAGTTCTGACGTAGGTAGGTAACTCCCATAGTATATGTGTTGTCTTCAGTTCACAAGTTTGTAGAAAAGGTAACTCACGTCAATAAGAATTTACTAAGTGATGATTATACACATGATGTTATACCAAGTATTCTTGGTCCAGGTATAATACATAGAGACCAACATTTGAAGGCCTCAGTTTCTCAGTAAAATGTAGGTAAAAATAGCACCCATTTCACAGTTTGTTATGAGAATCAAAGGAGCTACTGTACAGGAAGCATGTAGAAGCGTGTATCATAAACACTCAATAAACGATGGCTCTTGCTAATAAGAGGAAGTACTGAGGTGGTCCCCAGTGGTTAAAAATACAAACTTTGGAGTTAGAACTTTGCTTAAATCTTTACTGTCACTAGAAATGAACCTCTGAGAATAATTTTCCTCATCTATAAAATGGGGACAAAATAACAGAACCTAACTTCTTAGGGTTATTGTGAAAATTACATGAGATAATGCAAGTATAACCAAACCAAACTCACTGCCATGGAGTTGATTCCAACTCATAGTGACCATGTAGGGCAGAGTAGAACTGCCCCACGGGGTTTCTAAGGCTGTAAATCTCTACAGAAGCACACTGCCTCATCTCTCTCCTGAGGAGCAGGCTGGTGGGTTCCAACCACTGATGTTTTTGGGTTAGCAGCCAAATGCCTTAACCACTGTGCCATCAGAGCTCCTCCTCCCTACTAGCACTTCTTAGATATTCCGTGGAGAGATAAGGCATATACACATGATCAGGTTAAATAGCAGGCATAATTCAGGGCCAACATGAGTCATACATGTAGCATGTGTCTCAGGATTTCACAGAAGAGAACAGTAAAAGTCAGAGTCATCATGTCTATTTCAACTATCTGATAACTGACTCACTTTGCTGTAAATCCAAGGATCACCCCCCACCCCATGTGGTCGTCCTCTGCTTTTCCCTTCATGGTATTTGTATAGAGACACCATGGCTTAGGACACTAATAATAATGATTAGTATATTTCAGGAGATAGATTCATCTGCAAACACCCTATTCAGCTATGGATCTTGTCTTTTCCTCCCTCTGGAAGAACAGCCTGTCAACACTGAATTATTTTAGTAAGCATTTTGAAACTCCCATGATGAGCTAAAACAACTGGACCAAGGAATTTGCCCACGTGCAAACTGCTTGGCTCCTTTCTAAGCCAATTAAAACACCCAGTTTCTAACTTCTAAAACTGAAATGCACACAGGGCCAGGCAGGTAGCAAACAAGTTTCTGGAGCAGTCCCAGTGATCTTCAGGCGCCACCTTAAGGAAACTACATTCCTCAGGTACCACAATTTTAAATCTGGGCAAAAACCCCACAGATTTAATAAACAAACAAAACTCCACTTTGTGGTCCAAACAACAGAAAAAGTGTATAAGACCCTAGTTTGTGACCTCTACTTGAAAGTGAAACAATGGGATCAATGCCAAGGTTATGCCACATTCCGGGCAATGCCCCACAGGGACCTCTAATCACCATGTTTCATGTTAGAGTCTGAGTAGCACATACAATCCAACAAATGCTGACTACCTGAATTTGACTTTTTAATTGCCACAAAGTCCAAGCCAACTAAATGGGCTTATCAGAGCCTCTAAATATCTACATGACCTAATCCCTGCCTACTGCTCAGATACTTTTCCCTATTGTATTTTGGCCACATCAGCCTCCTTTCTGCTTCTCAAACATGGCCAGTTCATTCCTGCCACAGAATCTTTGTACTTGCTGTTCTCTCTTCCCCCAGATCTTCACGTGGCTAGCTCCTGGTAATCCTTCTGATCTCATCTCAAACGTCATTACTTCTGATGACTATGCTACCTAAAGTTCCCTCAGGTCTCCCCAGTCATTCTCTCCTACAGTACCACATTTTATTTTCTTTGTAACATTTATTCTCTGAAATTAGCTTGTTTGTTTACAAATCTATTTTGTAGTATGTAAGTTTCATGGGGGGGAGGACACAGCAACTTGTCATGTGTCATGTTCACTGCCTTATGTCCAGCACATAAAACATGGACCTGGCACATGGTAGATGTGTATTAAAAATTTGTTGAGCAAATGAATTAATGAACAGCTTGAACCTTGCAGCCAATGCTATCATTAACCCTGAACCCTTCTTCCATGCCGTATTTCAGGTTATTGTTATAATCAGTAACTTAAGGTAACAAATCTAAGAGCTACATTTCATTGATATTTTAATCTACTACATGGTAATAAATTCAAGTGAAATGAAAACATATCTTAATAAAACCAGAATAAAAGAAAAAACTTACAGGAAAAATTTCTGAACCAATGTGGCTGTTATTGACTTGTACTTCATAAGTTAAGCATGTACTCTTAAAATTCTCTGGATTCTTCCATTCTACATACAAGCCATCATTTTTAAAGGAGAGATTTTTAATATCAGGAGGATCAGGTTTCACTGAAAGACAGAAATAGAAGAACACAAGTTAGCTTCCAGAGTTTATTTTGATGAGCTGTATATATGAGTAGGCATAATGAAGGTCACAAAGTTAAATTAAAATAGAGCTGATACTTTTAATGGTCTTATATGATCAGACATATTGTAGAATTCCTGGTTATCCATAATCAATAGAGGAAAGCTATTTTAAACTGCCTAATAGAATACAATAGGGAAAGGTGTCTAAGCAGTAGGCAGGGATTAGGTCATGTAGATATTTAGGAGCTCTGGTAGCATAGTGCCTAAAGCATTTGACTGCTAACCAGAAGGCTGGCGGTTCAAACCCACCAGCCACTCCTGAGAAGGCAGGTTGGGCAATCTACTTCCGTAGTGATACCACCTCGGAAACCCAAGGAGGGGTCGCTATGAGTCGGGCCCGACTCCATGGCACATAACAACAACAACAACAACAATAGAATGGTTTTAAAGAACATCTTTGAAATGTCTGGAAGAAGACATGAACTCTGACCTGCATGTGATTAGAAAAAAGGCTATAATTAGGACATCCAGCTGCAACATTAAGAATACAGGAGTGCCAGGCTCCAAATAGGTTTTCAATTGATAGGTACAAGGCACCAGTCACAAGGGGCTTTCCCAACTGTTGATCATTCATGCCAGTCAAAAACCACAATTAAAAATATTGTTGTAAGATGCCATCAAGTCAATTCTGACTCATAGTGACTCCGTGTGACAGAGCAGAACAACACCATAGAGTTTTCTTGGCTGTAATCTTCATGGAACAGACTGGCAGGTCTTCCGGATGAAGAGCCACTGGGTAGGTTTGAACTGCCAACCTTTCAGTTAGCAGCCAAATGCTTAACTATTTGTGCCATCAGGGCACTCTGAGTGTCAATTTGGTTTTTCAGGAGTTAGTTATGCTTAAGATCAAGCAATAGAAGAGAATGAATAACAAGAAAGCAAAGATACAATCTTCTAGCTGAAAAGGATATGCTGCCATTACATCCAGGAAGAATAGCAGTGAAATGAATTTTAAAAGGCTCATCCAGGACAAGGCACCAATCAAGGGGGAGGAAAGAGAAGCGCTTCCCTTCAGATAACCCCACTTGGCTGACCTCCCTCATCTGACATACAAACTAAGCTACCTTTGGCCCATTAGTAGAATTCACTTCCACAACTATCTAAAGGCGTGTTAAACAGTGTTCTGCTCCAAGGCTTAGGAGCACTTTTCAATTGATGAATATTTGTTTATAAATCATCTGTATACCATTTAGACAGAAACTGCACTTCCTGTTATGGTATTACAACAATAAGCCATTATGCTTACAATATTGTAATTTAGAGATTTACAAAATGCTTGTGTACAGCTCATATCATTTGGAATTTATAGTAATCCTTTGAAGTGAAGAGGAACCATGCACCCCATTTTACAGATGACAGTTTATATGACTTGTCCAAAGTGGAGGACCTATATTTTGGTTACAAGTTGAGAGCTCTCTGTCTTTTTTTTTTTTTCTTTAATTTTTTATTGTGATCTGGGTAAATGTTTACAGAGCAAATTCATTTTCCACACAACAGTTCACAGACATTTTGTCTCATGACATAGATTACAAACCCCATAATGTAGTGACAGTTCTCTTCCCACTTCTTCCGTGTGGTTACCGTTTCCCTGTGTCCTTCTTTCTGAAGCATTCCTGCCCTCTGAGCTATCTCCCTGTGCAAATGCTGCCCTTATCTCCTGTGGCTGATTATTCTAAGGAGTGCACTTGCCTGGTGTAGATGTTCACTTTATATACCTATCTATTGTTTGGATGGAAGCTATGGGAGTGAGTTCAATTTCAGGCCTGAAGGTTAACTAGGGGCCATGGTCTCAGGGATTTCACCAGGCTCTATCAGACTAGTAAGCCTGGTCTTTTTTTTTTTTTTTCTCCCCTCATCATTTTGAGTTTTGTTCCACATTGTTCTCCCACTCTATCCAGGATCACCTGCACTGATCCCTTTCCAAGTGGTTGCCAGTGGGTAGCCAGGAACCATCTAGTTCTTCTGGTCTCATGGTCATCTAGGCTGAGGTTCCCATGGTCCACTAGTCCCTTGGACTAATTGCTTCTATGTGTCTTTGGTTTTCTTCATTCTTCTTTGCTCTGGATGAGGAGAGACCCATCGTTGCATCTAGATGGCCACTTGCAAGCTTTTAAGACCTCAGTCACTACTCACCAAAGTAGGATGCAGAACAATGTTTTTGTGTAGTATGCTATGCCAATTGAGCTTGATATCCCCTGCGACCATGGTCCTGAGTCCACAGGTCCAACAACTCACTCCATCAAGGTGGCTGACTGTACTTAAGAGGGCTCTTTCTAATAGGCCAACACTCAGCTGATATGCCCAGGTATGACTACATTAGTTGTTTTGATTGCTTACTGCCTCTGCCATAAAAACCAAACCCATTGCCATGGAGTCAGATCCAACTCACAGCAACCCCTCCTTGGATTTCTGAGGTGGTATCACTACAAAAGTAGACTGCCCGATCTACCTTCCGAGAAGTGGCTGGTGAGTTTGAACCACCAGCCTTCTGGTTAACAGTCAGATGCCTTAGGCACTACGCCACCATTTCTACATTGTAGTAAATTACATGGTATGGCTTTTCTAACCACAGGCTTTGTAATTCCCACTTTGCTGTGAGCAACTGAGTAACTCTTGATTGTTCAAGTTATCCACCTGGGGTAATTTCTGTTAGAGCAGCAGGAAGCAATCTTCTGGGAAGTTCTCTCTCTCTCTCTCGGGTGTGTAGAATTCTGATGTTGGGATTGGTTGGTTTTGGCCACTCTGCCAGGCTCAAAAGGAGCCTTCCTAGAGGAAGAAGAGTCTCTCTGACTACTGGCTGGGAAAGATGCGCTGCTGAGAGAGGTGCGCTGCTGAGAGTGAGACATGAGAGACACACACTGCTGAGAGAGAGATGTGCTACTGAGAGAGACTACTGGCTGAAAGAGAGACCGCTGGCTGAGAGAGACTGAGCGTGTTCCTGAACTTGAAACATAGCCTGTTGCTTCCCTAATAAACCCCATAATATGTGTGAGTTCTGTGTGGCCATTGCAGTGAATTATCGAACCCAGGAGAGAGATGGTAGGTGCTGTGGGAGGAACAGTGGTGTCAAGGATGTTAAGAAGGCTGCAGGGTGGCAGCATGTCTGGCCTCACGGGAACAGGCCTTGGGCTGCTGATGGTGATTCTGTCTTCCTCTTGTGTAGTTAGAGGAGGTCAGAAGGTGTCACCTCCCTGCCCCTTTACTAATTTTTAATGTCATCCTTTATTACACCATCTTGATTCTAAGCATTTTCTAAGAGATAGATAATTCAGAAAGTATGTGTGATCATGTTTATCTGGTAGTATCCTCTTCAGCAGCATAAGTGAAGAGAATAAATCTTAGAGTCAGACAGCCTGGCTTCCAGTCCCAGTTCTTTAACTAACTGCTCTAAGTCTCAGAATGTTCCTAAGCAAACAGGGACAAAACATCTGGCAAACATGTGCTCAATAAATATGAAAATGTCCAAGCTTGCTTCTTTAACAAGGATCAATCAAAGAACAAACAAACAAACAAACTCACTGCTGTCAAGTCAGATACAACTCATAGTGACCCCTCCTTGGGTTTCCAAGGCACTATCACTACAGAAGTAGGTTGCCCAATCTTCCCTCCAGGAAGTGGCTGGTGGGTTTGAACTGCCAGCCTTCTGGTGAGCAGTCAAATGCCTTAGGCACTATACCACCAGAGCTCCCCAAACAAAGAAAGGTACCCATAAATACACTTCCTTATTTTGGGAAGAGCTCAAGACCACAATAATAATTTTTTATTTGTATTCATTGTTCAAAACACATAACACTTTTATCCCCACTATCAGACAATACTTCTAAAACTTACCATAGGTATTTAAAGGCACTACATTGAAGGATGGTCTAATTTTTCCTGCATTATCCTTGACCATTATTTGGACATTACTTTTTTCCAAATTGGGACGCTTCAGATGAAAGGAACAACCAATACGTTGACCTTCACTATAGATGTTTTCACACTGAAGAATTTTTCCCAGGCTGCTGTGCCTACAAGATAAAGTGAGACAATCTTTTAAGAAAGTAAGAAAAAAGGCAGATGTAAGCAAAAATGTGACAAAGGAGATGTCCATGAAAAACAGTATTTGCAATAAGACAAGATAAGCTTTTTGGTTTTTTACCTTATTTTACAACATGGCTTCATTTCATACTGTACAAAGAAAAGAATATTCCTTTCCGATGTTGTGGTAGTTATGTTTGTGTGTCAACTTGGCTGGGCCTGGTTGAGTGGCTGGGCAGCTGGTGGTAGTTATTCCCCATGATGAGACTGGCAATCAACTCCATGGTAGG